TATATATATATATATATATATATATATAGTTGATCCTGAACAATTCAGGTGTTAGGGGCCCTGACCACCCCTGTGTGGTCTGAAATCTGCATATTACTTTTGATTCCCCAGACATTTAATTGCTAATAGCCTACTGTTGACTGGAAGCCTTACCAATAGCATAAGTAGTTGATTAACACATATTTTGTGTTTATATGTTTTAGGTAATGAATTCTTATAGTAAAGTAAGCTAGAGAAAAGACAATGTTATTTGAAAAATCATAAAGAATGGAAAACATACCTACAGTACTATGCTGAATTTATTGATAAAAAAAATCAACACATAAGTGGACCCAAGGCTGTTCAAACCTGTGTTGTTCAAGGGTCAAATGTACACCACATCCTCTTTACCCATTCATCTATTGGTGGACACTTAGGTTTCCTCCATATCTTGGCTATTGTAAATAATGCTCCAGTGAACATAAGGATGCATAATATTAATTTTGGGCTTTGTTTGTTCTTAGTAGCTCCTTTAGGTGTAGGATTAGATTGTTTATGTGAGATTTTTCTTGTTTCTTGAGATGGGCTTGCATCACTATAAACTTCCTTCTTAGAATTGTCTTTGCTGTATCCCATAGATTTTGGAGCATTGTATTTTTATTTTCTTTTGTTTCAAGGTATTTTTTGATTTCCTCTTTGATTTCTTCTTTGACCCATTGGTTTTGTTAGCCTTCACATATTTGTGTTTTACAGAGTTCTTCAGTTTTAGTTTCATACTCTTTTGTTGTATTTGTAAAAGATGCTTGATATCTCAGTTTTCTTAAATTAATTGAGATTTGTTTTGTGACTTAATATGTAATCTGTCATGGCGAATGTCCCATGTACACTTGAAAAGAATGTCTATTCTGCTATTTTTGGGTGTAATGTTTTGTATATACCTATTAAATCCATCATGATCTATTCATCGATGTAAATGAAATATTAAAGTCCTCTACTATTATTGTATTACCATCAGTTTCTCTCTTTATGTTTGTTAATATTTGCTTTATGTATTTAGGTGCCCCTATGTTGGATGCATTGATATTTATAGATGTTCTGTCCTCTTGTTTGATGTATGTATTCATTGTGTAGTGCCCTTCATTGTCTCTTGTTACAGTCTTTCTTTTAAAATCTATTTTTTCTGGGACACTGGGGTGGCTCAGTTGGTTGAGTGTCTGACTTCGGCTCAGGTCATGATCTTGCAGTCTTTGAGTATGGGCCCCACATTGGGCTCTGTGCTGACAGCTCAGAGCCTGGAGCCTGCTTCCGATTCTGTGTCTCCCTCGCTCTCTGCCCCTCCCCCATTCATGCTCTGTCTCTCTCTGTCTCAAAAATAAATAAACTTAAATATATTTTTCCTGCTGTAAGTATTGCTGCCTCAACTTTCTTTATGTTTCCATTTGCATAGAATAGCTTATTCCAACCCTTCACTTTTAGTCTGTGTGTGTCTTTAGATCTGAAGTGAGTCTTGTAGGCAACATACATATGGCCTTTTTTTTTTTAATCTATTCAGGGACCCTATGTCTTTTGATTGAAGCATTTAGTTTATTTACATAAACCTTCACTTATACATGTAAATAAAGGTATTTGGTATGTGGTTACCATAAGGTTCACATAAAACATCCTATGTATCTAGTGGTCTGTTTTAAGTTGAAGGCCATTTAAGTTCAAGCACTTTCTTTTTATTTAAAAAAAAATTTTTTTAATGTTTATTTATTTTTGAGAGAGACTGAGACAGAATGCGAGTGGGGGAGGGGCAGAGAAAGAGGGAGACACAGAATCCAAAGCAGGCTCCGAGCTCCGGACTGTCAGCACAGAGCCCAATGCGAGGCTTGAACTCATGAGCTGTGAGGTCATGACCTGAGCCGAAGTCAGGTGCCCAACCGACTGAGCCACCCAGGCGCCCCTAAGTTCAAGCACTTTCTAAAAGCACTACATTTTTACCATCCTCCAAACATTTTATGTTTTTGATATCATGTTTTACATCTTACTATTTTGTGTATCTCTTGACTAATTATTGTAGGCCTAGATGATTTTAATATTTTTATCTTTTAACCATCATGTTAGATGTGAGGGCAGTTGATCCACAGCTTTGGTTTTATGCTTACTTTTACCAGTAAGATTTTTTCGTTCTTAATTTTCTAATTTTTGGTTTTGATCTTTTCTTTTTTTGTTTAATGAAATCCTTTCAACATTTCTTGGAGGGCCAGTTTGGTATTGATGAACTCCTTTAGTTTTTGCTTGTCTGGGAAACTTGGTTATGCCTGGCCCTCAGTGTGGCTTGTGATATCTGGCTGCAACTGTTGTAGGTGTTTTAGTGTTTGGGACTAGCCCTCTCACCCCAGTCCTGGTTAACTTAGGAGGGGCTGTGGTGCTTGCTGAGGGTGCCCTCCAGGAGTGGTGGAACAACTCTGAGTGATAACTTTGCCAGATAGAGTATTCTTGTTTATAAGTTGTTGTTTTTTTTCCTTTCATTACTTGGAATATATCATGCCACACCCTTCTGGCCTGTCAAGGTTCTGCTGAAAAATTAGCTGATAGGTTTTGGGGGTTCCTTGTAAGTAACTAGTTGTTTTTCTCTTGCCGCTTTTAAGACTCTTTTTTCTTTTTCTTTTATTTCTTTTTCTTTTTTCTTTTTCTTTTGTTTTAGTTATTTATTTTGAAGACAGAGTGAGTGCAAGCAGCGGAGGGGCAGAGAGAGAACCCCAAGCAGCCCAGAGGCTGATGCAGGGCTCAATCCCATGAACTGTGAGGTCATGGCCTGAGCCGAAATCAAGAGTCAGACACTCAACTGGCTAAGCCACCCAGGCACCCCAAGACTCTCTATCTTTAACTGCTGATACTTTGATTGTAATGTTTTGGTGTGGGTCTCTTTGAGTTCATCTTATTTGGGACTCTGTGCTTACTGGACTTAGATGTATACTATCTTTGCCAGGTTAGGATATTTTCAGCCGTTGTTTCTTCAAATAAGTTTTCTGTCCCTCTCTCTCTTTTCCTTCTTGGACCCTATAATGCTAATGTTAGTACACTTAATGTTGTCCCAAAGGTCCCTTAAACGATTCTCATTTTTAAAACTTCTTTTTTCTTATTATTGTTTTGAGTGAATAATTTCCACTACCCTGCCTTCCAGATTATTGATTCTTTCTTTTGCATCATCTGATCTGCTGTTGATTCCCTCTAGTGTATTTTTTGTATCAGTTATTGTATTCTTTAGCTCTGATTGGTTATTGTTTTATATGTTCTATCTCTTTGTTGAAGTTCTCATTCTGTTCTCTTCTTCGGAGTTTAGTAAGCATCTTTATGACCATTACTACTTTGGACTCTTTATCTGGTGGACTACTTTTCTCCATTTTGTTTAGTTCTTTTTCTAAGGTTTTGTCTTATTCTTTTACTTGGAACATATTTCTCTTTCTTCTCATTTTGCCTCACTGTGTTTCTGTGTATTAGGTAGATCAGTTATGTCTTCAAGTCTTGAAGGAGTGGCTTTATGCCAAAGGGGCCTACCAGTCACCTAAGCCAGGTTCTCATGAGTGGGCTGCCTGAACCCTCCTGTTGTGGCTGGGTCAATATTTTGCAGACTTGCTGGTGTACACAGCTGCCTGTGAGGTCTGACTTTCACTACTACAGGTGTACTGTTGAATGAGGCTGGCCCTCAGTGTGGCTTGTTGTGATAGCTGGCTGCAACTTTTATAGGTGTTTGAGTATTTGGGACTAGCCCCCCCTCCAACCAGGTTAACTTAGGAAGGGCTCTGGTGCTGGCTGAGGGTCCCCTCCAGGAGTGGTGGAACAGAGAATTGCTTGGAAAGGGCTCCTGACCAACCTACGCTGCTTGCAGGGTATACTAAGGTAGGGACTCTGGGCCCGGGTGGGCATGTTGGGTAGGGCAAGCCCACAGGGGAATGCCAGGGTGGAGCTAGTGGTGCTAGCACAGTAGGTAGAAAGTGTCAGAAATGGCACCCACCGGAGCTGGGTCAGCTAGGTAGAAAGAGGATAAGAAAAACTATACCCCAGCACTTTGATCCCTGGAAAACTTTCCAACAGATCCCTGCCCTTTGGGCATGTATCTGAAGTTAGTGGATTTCCTTCAGGGAGTTTTCAAACTGCTACACTGTCCTGGGACTTAGAGTCAGTGGCATTGTGCATACACCCTGTAAGAGTGGAGTTGCAGTTTCCTGCTGCTCTCTAGCTCTCCCAAACATAAGCAAGCCGCCTTGGTTTTCAAAGCCATACATTATGGGTGCTTGTCTTTCTGGTACAGATCCCCTGGGCTCTGGAACCTCATGTGGAACTCAGACCCCTCAGTCCCCAGGGAGGGCCTCTGCAGCTGTGATATCACTCACTGTGGGTCACCGTGCCAGGGATGCGAGTCCTGACTAAATTGCATCTCCACCCCTCTGCCCATCTCAATGTGTCTTTTTCTTTGTATTTTTAGTTCTTTGTGATCTGTTCAGCTAGTCTTCAGTTCATTCTCAGAGATAGTTGTTCTACATGTAGTTATAGATTTTGGTGTGTCCCTAAGAGGAGATGAGTTCTTGATCTTCCCATTCTGCCATCTTGATCCTGCCCCCCTTAGTATTTTAAAAGTATTTTAGTAGCTCTATAGTTTTATTACTACTGTTAGTAATATCACTCATCATCCGTTCTTTCTGTTCATCATTCATTCTCTGAAAGTCTTTTAAAGTATCAGCTTACGTTCTTTGTGATACAGCCTTTTTTCCCTTTGATGTGTTCAGTTGGATAGATCTTAAATCTGCCTTATAAAACAGTAATAGTGTTATGTTCTATCAGTGAGATTTGTTTTTTTGTGTCTTTTTCTTATAGAACATACAGTGGGAGAGGTTATCAAATTAGATCCTGGTGGGTCTCCAAGAAAAGTCTGGGGGAGAAGCCCTACAGATTCAGTTCTGAAGATACTTGGAGAAGCTGAACTACAGCTTCAGACAGGACTACTAGAAAACACAAGCGTTAGACGTGGTAAGCAGAAACAGATTGTTTTTCCATACTAGAAGTAACGTTATTAAGAATTAAATTGTATTTTTAAAGATACATCTATTTGAAGTGAATTGTTTATAATAGGTTATCTTTTTGTTCTAGTTAGATGGACATTAGTCGTATTTTCTGAAGAGTTGTCTCAACATTGTAGTCTTGAATTTTGACCTGACATAACCTGGATGCGATCTTAAAAGAAAAGGAAAAGGAAGTGTTCATAGGGTGAGCCAGAAAAGTACAACAGTCAAAATGTTGTTTTACATGAAGAGAGAGATAGGAACAATGCATGTGGATTCTGGAATTAGGTTGAATAAAGATATCTGTAGTAGTTATGACAACATTATCTTAGGACTGGGGAGGGTGAATTGTGAGGCAAGAGGAAAACACTTATGTTCCATGAGTATTGTGCATCTTGGTATTACAGCTATGCATATGAAGAGTGTCCATGTATAAAACAGGTGTTTTCACATTTAAAAGCTTATTCAAATGAGAGGCTGAATATGGTTTTTCTTTTTTCAGAATCTGTGTCTAGACATGAATGTACGTCACTATTGTGTTCTCTCTCAATCTATCTCTTTTTTCCCTGTCTCTCCTTAAGTTTGTCTCTGACAACTTTGTGCACACTTTTATCCTTGCCTTTTTCGTGCAATATCATCATTTACTTTTTTTCATTTGTGTCTGTCCTCTGAGAGCAAGGATGATCTTTTTACTCTTTGTAGCTTTCCTGCCTAACACATAGTAGTAGGAACAGCTAATTAGTGTTCCATAAATAGTTGGTAAATTGAAGTTAAAAAAAAGGTAAGACAAATCATAAATGACTTTTCAGTTCCAGTTCTCTGAAGATGGATTATTTGAGTATGGAGAATATTGAATTTAGAGAATTATTTGAATTAGAGTGATGCTCATATTTGAAACTGACAAAAAAAAAAAAAAAAAAAAAAAACATAGGTGGTAAAGTTTTTCGAAGTGTGTATAAAGAAATTAGCCAGATGCTATTTTGCCAGTGAGATGAGCCTATACACGTTATTAAAGTGTAAAAAGTAGATTATTTTCTTTTTAAGGGTGAATCTCCTAGCCATTAATCATTCTAGCATTTTCTTTAATATTAAAAGAAAGCAATTTCAAGAGAAAAGTATATACAATTACTTGCTTGAAAAAAAGGGTATACAAACTGCATGTATTTGTAATTAATTTGTTCCCATTCTTGTATCTGAAAATTGTATAATTGTATGCCAGACACTAATCAAAAACAAAATGCTAGTAATTTAGTATTCTTACATCTTAGTCTGATCCTGTTGTCAGAATACCTCAGGCTTTATTGAGGGGAAAAAAAGTCTCCAGGCCAAAATCTTTTCAAAAATAACGATAAAAATTTTATATTATTTTGTAAGCTAAAAATCCTTTATGTGTTTATATTAGAACCATTACTTTAAAAACATCAGATTCAGACTCTTTTTATGTAAGATCATTATTGCTTAAATGTGTGCAATTTGGTGTACAATAATACTTAGGTAATGTGGAAGCAGGCCTTCTCCATATTCAAATAATCCATCTTCGGAGAACTGGAACTGAAAAGTCATTTATGATTTGTCTTCCTTTTTTCTAACTTCAATTTACCAACTATTTATGGAACACTAATTAGCTGTTCCTACTACTACGTGTTAGGCAGGAAAGCTACAAAGAGTAAAAAGATCATCCTTACTCTCAGAGGACAGACACAAATGAAAAAAAATACTTGATAATATTGCATGAAAAGGGCAAGGATAAAAGTAGGCACAAAGTTAAGAGGTAGTGCAGACATGTTTAAATAACTAACCGTATCTTGGATAGTTAAAAAAAAGACTTCTCAGAGTTGTCCTCTGCCCTCTTTTTAATTTTTCCCTAATGCTCTGTGCTAGGATTTTAACACAAAGAAGTCACAGTTTCTTACCATTAGGAAATCCCATGTGGCAAAATCTTTGTTGGAAGTGTATGTGTAATGGTATGGAGCCACAGATTAGGAGGCTTTATGTTGTCAATATCGTATAGTTTCCTAAGTATGGTAAGTCCCTTTTGGGTTAGACAAAGCCACAGAGAGAGGAAGTGATCTTGAGCTAGGCCAAAAAATAAAAAAGAGCTCATTGGGTAAATAAGGGGGGGAAGAATGAAGTTCCAGGCAATACACAATCCCAGTATATGCAAGGACAAAAAAAGTTTATTTAATATGTGTGTGGGAGCACCTTCATGCTGTGGAAGGATAATGGGCTTTGGTTCCAATTCTGGTTCCGATCACTTGCCCCGCAGCCATGGGCAAGTTGCTCTGACTTTGACATTCAATTTCTCTATGTGTAGAATGGAAACACTGTTATTAAGGATTGTTTTGTGGATTTAATGACAAACATAAAGGACCTGCAGTGTTCTCTAGGCTCCCAACCTTTATGTAAGTGTCTCATCAATATGATTGTCTTAAGCCCTTTTTGTAATAGAAGGCATGTGAACAATATGAGAGATTTTGTATGTTCATAGCAGTTTAAGATTTTATTCTTGAAAGTCAGTTTGGCTGAATGTAAATCTTTGGTTTATATTTCCATTCCTTGAATTTCTTTACTATATGAAACTCCATTGTTTTCTGCCATAAAGCAAAGCTATCAAGAATCTGATGACAATCTTATTTTCTCTTATAAATGATTTGGTCATTTTGCTTGGATACTCAAAGGATGTCTTTCTTTTTCCTTAAAGTCCAGTAGTTTTTAAAAAATACATTTGGTGTTATCATTATTTTCCTGTAGGTTCTGTGTTTTTTTAATAGTTACTTTTGTTTTAGAGTAATTTGGGGTTCATGGCAATATTGATTAGAAAGTACAGTTTCAGTATATCCCCTTCTTTGACCTATGCATGGCCTTTCCAACCAACAGCATCCTCTCTCCAGAGTGGTGCATTTGTTAAAATTGACAAACCAGCATTGACACATTATGATCACCCCAAATCCATAGTATAAAGTCCACTCTTGGTTTTATACCATTCATGGATTTTGACAAATATAAAGTGATACACATACACTATAATATCATACAAAATATTTTATTGCTCTAAAAAATCCCTGTGTTCTACCTATTTATTCCTCCCTCCTCTCAAACTCCTAGCAACCACTGGTCTTTATAGTGTCTCATTAGTTTTGCCTTTTCTAGAATGTCATGGCTGGAATCATACCATATGTAGCCTTTTCATACTGGCTTCTTTAGTAATAGGCATTGAAGTTTTCTCCCTGTTTTTTCCTGGTATGATACCTTATTTCTTTTTAGTGCTAAATAATATTGCATTGTAGGAATATGCCACAGTTTGTTTATATAGGTTATTCAGTAGGTTATTCGCCTATTGAAAGACATTTTGATTGATTGCAAGTTTTGGCAATTATGAATAAAACTGCTATAAATATCTATGTGCAGGTTTCTGTTAAGACAAAAGATTTTACTTCTTGAGTAAATACCAAGCAATGTGAATGCTGGTTCATGTGTTAACAGTTTGTTTAGTTTTACAACACTCTGCCAAGCTGTCTTCCAAAGTGGCTGTACCATCTTGCACCCCCATGAGAAACGAATGAGAGCTCTTATTGCTCCACCTCCTCAGCAGCATTTAGTGTGGTCGGTGATTTGGATTGTAGCCATTGTAGTAGACGTGTAGTGGTATCACATTGTTTTGATTTTCAATTCCCAAATGGCATGTGATGTGGCGCATTTTTTCAGATGCCTGTTTGCCATCCATGTATGTTTTTGCTGAGGTGTCTGTTCAGATCTTTAGTCCATTTTTAAGTTGGGCTGTTTAGTGTTGTTTTTTTTTAATTGTTGAGTTTTAAGAGTTCCTTGTATGTTTTGGTTAACAGGGCTTTAAGTCTTTATGTCTTGTGCGAATATTTTCATCCACTCTGTGGCTTGTCTTCTCATTTTCTTGACAGTGTCTTTTGTAGAGCAAAAGTTTTAAATTTTAGTGAAGTCCAGAGTCGCCTGAGTGGCTCAGTCAGTTGAACATCCAACTCATGATTTCAGCTCAAGTAATGATCTTACCATTCATGGGATTGAGCCTTGCGTTGGGCTCTGTGCTGACAGTGCTGAGCCTGCTTGGGATTCTTCCCCCCACCCCCCTTTGCCACCCCCCTGACACACTTGCACATGCTTTTTCTCTCTAAATAAATAAATAAAAATTTAGAAGAAAAATAAATTTTAGTGAAGTCCACCTTATTAATTCTCTTTTTCATGGATCGTGCCTTTGGTAGTGTATCTAAAATGTCATTGCCAAACTTGAAGTCATCTGGATTTTCTTCTGTGTTATCTTCTAAGGGTTTTATAATTTTGCATTTTACATTTAGGACTGTGATCAGTTTTGAGTTCATTTTTGTGAATAGTGTAAGGTCTGTATCTAGATACTTTTTGGGGGAGAGGGGAAATGGGATCTCCAGATGTTCCCGTGCCATTTATTATAGAGTCTATCCCTTCTCCATTGAATTGCCTTTGCTTTTTCATTGAAGATCAGTTGACTGTATTTATATGGGTCTCTTTCTGAGCTATGTTCTATTTCATTTATCCATTACCATACTGTCTTGATTACTGTAGCTTTATACTGAGTCTTGGAGCTGGGTAGTATCATTCCTTGAACTGTGTTCTCCTTTAATATCATGTTGGCTTCTCTGGATCTTTTGCCTCTCTACATAAACTTTTAGAATCATGTTAAATCAACTTTTAGATATCAGTGTTGATATCCGCAAAATAACTTTCTAGGATTTTGACTGGGATTGCATTGAATCCACAGATCAAAATGGGAAGGACTGACGTTGTGACACTATTCAGTCTTCCTATTCATGAACATGGAATATCCCTTTACTTAATTTTTCTTTGATTTTTTTTATGAGAGTTTTATAGTTTTTTTCATTGTAGTGTATCTTTATAATATGTGGTTTCCAATCCTTCCCCCACCCCAATTTTAGGAAAGTGTTATTGAATTATAGTTTTTCT